GGTTCTCCAGCTGGGAGCCAGCCCCTGGTGACCTCACTGAGCAGCATGGAGCTAGTAAACCCACCACTCCGCATCCCAGCCTGTCACTCAGCGCTGCCGAGGCACTGTTATCGCCACCGCTGTCGCCACCGCTTTATCCCCATGTCGAACCAGCACTTAATGCCTGTGCAGACATTTAAATATTAAGTAAGCACTTACTTTTTAAAGATTAATGAGAAGTGATCTCAGTGAAACGAAACTTGCCAATTACTCATACATTTTAAACGTGAATCAACTGTTTTTACAGAGCGATGCCGTTTCTGGGCCAGGACTGGCGATCTCCTGGATGGAGCTGGGTTAAAACGGAGGACGGCTGGAAGCGCTGTGAGCCCTGGCGGCAGGACCTGGACCGAGAGAGCACCCAGCGCAGCGTCCCGCACGGCATGTACGCGCAGCCCTGCCAGCCCGCCTGGCGCCGAGGGTTCATTTCCTCTTCCAGGCGCTGCAAAGCTCTGTCACTGTCGTTTGGCTGCGAGTTGCCCTCGCCCAAGGCTGGTGGGAGGGAGGACGTTATGTAGCTCAGGTCTGAGCCAGGACATTGCCTGGTTCCCACACGTAGATGCTGCTTTGTTACCGAGCGAGGGTCACTGCCCGACACCATGGAAGCCAGTGCTACGAGGAAAGAAAAGACCTTCCATGGTGAGGCCAGCCGGCCAGGCTCCTATCTGTCCCCCGATCGGGTCCAGGGAAGGTTCAGGGGCCACGGGGCACAGGCGGTTGTGGAAGCGCTGGCGGGCAGGTTTCGGTGGGCGTGTTTTTGGAATTCCACCAGAAGGCCCCTGTCTGCGGTTTTGGCTTGGTTTTTGTGAAGGAGGGGCCTTGAGGCGCAGTGTGGGGTCCTGTCTATGAAGAGTCCGTAGCGTTGCCCGGGGATTCAGTGCCGTTCCCTGTGGGCTCTGGGAAGCTGAGATGGCACGGAGGCGCAAGGCCACGTGCACTGTATCCTGCGCTGCCTGAACGGGACCCTTCTAGGGTTTCCCCTTTGCGTTTAACTTATTAAATCTTCATTGCATTGTTTTTACTTACATCTCGTTAACATTCAGTTTCCTGTCCGAATTTGAATATTTTATGATTTATTTTGGTGACTTGGTTCACGGGGCATAGCGTGGAGGTCATCGGAGACCTGGGAGTCCATG